AGGAAATCAGGACACGTGATTGAACGTGTTAGATTTCCACGATGGAAGAAGAGTTCAAAGAGGGGCTGTCTCTTTATGAGTTAAAACGTTTAAAGAGAATTAAGGAGAACCAAACATTAGTAAGTTAAAGCACCATACAAATCCTATTACTTAATCCTATATAAATCTGCTGTATTGGCTGAAGTTAGCTCAATTGTTTCCAGAGGGCACAAAACTGAAGTCACCGGCAAAGAAGAAATCTGAAACTAAAGTAACAATTGTCATAACATTAATTACTACAGGCTGAGAAAGCACATGATTCCCACTCAGGAGCACATGCGCTCCTGACTCTTCACATTATAAATATCCTTGTAGGACAATTAATGGTAACAAAAATGAATATTCCCCTTTGTGTACATATGTTGCCATAAAGTGTCTATGATGTCACCTTAATCAGACTATTCCCCAGACTGACTCAAGCACTATAAGATGTAAGTGGCTGTTTAGATCTACAATTTTGCTGCACATGCAACTGCATCTCTTTGTATGAGTCCTGATATATTATAGTCTAGTATTACAATGATTGTAGGCTCAGGACTGTATGGTTTGACTAGTCACTGTAGGTCAGACTAATACAATATCATGTTCATCATTAAATTTTTGGTACACCTATATAGCAGTTTAGTTCTAGCCAATCACATATGTGGGAGCATACCTTACTCACCACACCTACCACCCACGACACTTATGTTTGGCAGCTAACATGGTGGTAGAGATCATTGCTGAAGTTTGCACTCTTATTAAGTACAAGATAGTTATAATATCAGCATGTTACTGACCTCTTCCTATTTTAGCCTACCTGCTGGCATTTATTTATTGTCCACTCATAATACCCTATGCCTCAAAGAACACTCAGGTGGGCTTGCTTGCCTCTTATATACTATTAATTCTTTTTTTGTAGAGTATTATTTGTGCTGTTGGTGGGTTTGCTTTGCTACAGTATGTTTTCGGTGAGAAATGTTACACAATGTGTTGATTAGTGTTTGTAATTTTTTTCTCAGGCTTGTCTGCTTCTTTGCATTTTATGTTGGATGTCTTTCTCGTCTATTGTGTTTTTTTATTATTTGGAAAAGGGAGAGTCTCTCTATTACTTACATGGATTATTACTATGGTATGTTACCATAGTACAAAAGCCCAAATACATGTATAATATGCATACTGATATGCTCTGTTGTTTGTTTACTGTTAGTGGGTTGTCTTGCTTGTCTAAATATTAATTTTCCAGGGCGTAAGGCCATTGTTGGCATAATTATGCTTTTTGTACTTTAATTATGT